AAAGCCTCTGCCGCGAGCGGGTGCTCAGGCCGTTCTTTGGCTCGAGACCCACCGGGTCCCGTGGGCCAAACTGGGCGCGTTCAAAATCCAGAAGGTAGGGCACCACTTGGGCGAGCTGGGCATCAACGAGGGGCGCGTCGCGCCATGTGCAGGAAGGCTTTCAAACGCCAAGCCGATGAGCTTGCCGCCGCCAGCGCGCGCCTGCGCGCCCTTCCACAAGGCCTCATCGACTCCGCCAAGTGGTGACACGCATTCGCTGCAGTCCTCCACTGCGCAGCCGTCACCATGTATGACCGACGTTGCCAGTCGCTCCCGGTGCCTACCAGAAGAACGGGATACTTTAGGGCTGAACTCAACAAGAAGAAACCCACCCCTCTCGCCACAGGCCAAGGCGGCGGGAACGAGCCACCAGGCTCACCAGACGGCCCCGACCACCCAGACGGTCCACCAGGACCTGACTACTTCGAACACCTCGACGAGCTGTGGTCGGGCCAACTCGATTCCCTCGACAGAGGCGAACTCGACCCTCTCGGGCTTGGCCTCGAGGAGCGACGGTGACGGCGTCGACGAACGCAGCGGCCACGCTCACCCGCGCGACGCGCGCCAGGACCAGGCGGCTCGCGATCTCCCCGCCCAGACCGCTGTCGCCAGCTCCCACCGCCATCAGGCCAGCTCCTCCCCCCACTATGGTACGGGGGGCAATGGACGGCCAAGCGCAACCACCAGCACAAACCACGGCGCTTCGAGTATCCCGCGTTCTGGCCGCAGGCAATCCCGCATGGAACCTGTTTCTGCGGCTACACGGCGTCCCGACGGTGACCGTGCCTCGGGCCTCGTCGCTAGTGTCAGCGTGCTGCGCCAGAGCGCCAACCACCTCGCCCAATGTCTCCAGCACATCCACGAACAATCATACACGCTGCTTGCCAAGTTCCGCCGTGCACATGCGGCCGGGGACGACTTGCAGCAGGCCATCCGGCCTGCCGCCTCCCTTGGGGCGTCTCTCCAGAACGGTATCCAGGCCTTCCTCGCTGCTTATCGCGGGGCACACCAATGCTAGCGCCCTTCGTCACTGTGGGCTTCGTGAACTGTTGGCGCCAGTTTCGCTGCCCTCTGGTTGGGCCGCTGTGGGGGCCAAGGCGGCGCCGCTGCTGCCAGGGCGCCGTGTCACGCATGCCAGAGGGTGTTTACAACTGGTGTCCCTCTATTTGCGAGTGTGCAATCGGGGCGAACCTCGCCAATAACGCCCGCCCCGCTCCTGCTTTCCAGTCGGGGCCCCCGCAGACTGCGCCCGGGTGGAAGGTAGTCTCCCCGCCCCTGTTCGCACGGCGGTACCTCCCGCAACATGAGGTTGGCGTCGAGGGCGCTTGTAGCCCTCGCGACAGACAGACTGCGGCTCGTCGAACTGTTGCGATCTCTCTGTGCCTCTCCCCTCTCTCTCTCTCTCTCCTCTCTTCTGCTTTCTCTTCCTGCCCCTCATCTTTTTTCCCCCCTCTTCGTTTCGGGCCAGCAGCCGCGACGCGCCCGTCATGCAATGGCTCCAACCGCGAGGCGCCGGCATGGCCGGATGTCCGCGGCCTGCCTCCAAGCACCAGCTGCTCGGGGCCGCTCCACGCGCCACCTCGGCGCACTTTGCCTGCGCCCCACGGGGGGGGGGGGGGGGGGGCGCTGCGCGCGCGCCCGAGGATCGCGCGGCCTCCCCTGGAGTCTAAGCGCTGTCGCACCACAGCGACGGCGGCGACGGCGACGGCGGCGACGACAACGGCGGGCAGCCTTCCGAGGACGGGCTGCCCGAGGCCTGCGGCCTGGAGCCGGGGCTGCCGGCTCCGCGCGCGGGGCCCGGGCGGCCAGCCCTGGGCACTGGGTTCTCTGCGCGCGGGGCGCCTTCGCCCCGGGCGCCGGGGCACGGGGCCATCGCAGGTCGACGCGGCTGGAAGCGCGCCGCAGAACGACGGGGTCCAGGGCCCTGGTCGCAATTCCCTGCGGTGTCGCATGTTGTTCGCGACGTCGGGTGCCAGGGTCCGAGCATGCAGCGTTCTGTTCAGGGGAGACTTGACCACGGGGTAACAGACCCACCGCGGAGACTTAACTACGGGGTAAGACCTGTACGGGGTAACAGACCCACCACGGGATCCAGACGGAGAGACTGCAATGGCCGTGGCCAAAAAAAAACTGCACGGCGAAACAACCGCACTGCACTTTACCTGCAACTAAGTGCGGAAAAAACTGCAAACAAGCTCCAAAGGCCGGGCAACAGGGGGCCCAAACCACAGAGTTGCAGTGCAGCCGCCGAAAACTTTCCTTGCAGACAGAATGTGGCAGGTGCTGCTCGAAACGCGAAAGCCCTAACAACGGCACTGCAACAAAGTGCGCGTATGCTGCCTCGAACCGGCCGCTTCGTGTTACCCCGTCTGCTGCTGCCCCGCCTCCGCTTCTCTGATCAGTGTCGCACGCCTGCGCGCCCGGGGCGCTGGCTTCCGAGCATCAGCCCGGCGCTCGGGGTCGAGCCAACGGCCCTCCGAACACCGCGTGCTCGGGGTCCTTTGCTTGCGCGCCCGAGGGTCGCTCCGAGCACCGGGTGCCTCCGGGGCCAGGTCGAAAGGCGCGCGCCCTGTCTGCGTCGGCAGCCGCCGGGCGTTGTCGCTCGGCGTCGGCAGCGCCAGCCGTGGGGCGGCTGCTGGGTGCGAGGGCCCGAACGCATGCCAGACGGAGCGCGCCCTGGTTGGGCACAGCGCGTGCGCTGGCGCGCCGACGGGCGCGGCATGTCTCCAGATCGCGCGTGGCCGCTGCGCTGAAGTCCAGGCGGAGGTGCTTCGCTCGTCTCGGCGCCCGGAGGTCGCTGTCGATCCTTCGGGCCGAGAGCTGAATCGTCGGGGCCCGCTTCAGGGCCGGGAGGGGCGAGGGCAGACAGGCAGAGAGGAGGAGGCGGGTGGAAGAGGAGGAGACCCCGGGGAGGAGGAGGAGGGAGGGGGGCAGGCAGACAAGCTGGAGGAGGGACGCAGACCGATGCGCCCCCTGGAAGCCAGAGAGGCGACGACCAGGGGGTCCAGTTCGCGAAAGGTCCCAGCACTCAAGCCAGCGCGTGAGGCCGAGCGGAGGCGGAGAAGGGAGGAACGTCGCGTTTTGCGTCGCGCTTCGCGGGGCGTTCCGCGGGGCGTTCCGCTGTTTGTTTCGCTCCGCGCTTCGCGGAGGGCGCTCCGCGGGGCGGATCGCGGGATGCTTCGCTGGATGCTTCGCTGGGTGTTTCGTTGGGCGTTTCGTGCTGTTTTGTTGCTGGATTTCGCGGGGTGTTTCGTGGCGTGCTTCGCGGGGCGATTCGTGTTGCATTTCGCGCGGTGTGCCCTGGGGTGTTTCGTGTTGCGTTCCGCGGGGTGACTCGTGCATTGCTTCGCCGGATGTTTCGCTGCGTCTTCCGGGCGGTGTTTCGCGAGGTGTCCGGTGGAATGCTTCGCGGTCTGGTTCATTGGGTGTTCCGTAATGTTTCGCGGTGTGTTTTGGTGGGGTGCTCCGTTGGGTATTTCATGGAGCGTTTCGTGAGGTGGTTCCTGGCGCGTTTCGCGGGGTGTTTATTGAGGCGTTCCGTCGGGTGCTTCATGGGATGCTTCCATGGGTGTTCCGCGGGGTTGATCGCAGCGTATTTCGCGTGGTGTTTGGAGATATGTTTAGTGGTGTGGTTCGCTGCGCGCTCATCATGGTGTTTCATGGAAAGCTTCATTGCGTGTTTCGCGAGGTAGTCGCGAGGTGCTCCAGGGGGGTGGTTCGAGGGATGCTTTGTAGGGTGTTTCGCGCTTCTTTCCTGGCGTTGTTCATGCCGTGTTTCGTAGGGGGTGTTTCACGAGATTGATGTTTCTCGGCGTGGCGCGTTTCGAGATGTGTTTCGCGAGGTGTTTCATGGTGTGGCTCGCGTGGTGCGCCGGGCATTGGATCACTGCACGTCTGCCAGCCAGCACAGCAGGGCGGTTAAGTCCTCCTTCCACTGCAGCCCTTTCTGGATGTGGAGCAGGAGGGGGGGGGACGAGGGGGAGACATGAAACATGTTTTATTTTTTATCTGTCTGGATGCTATGTGGGCTTCTGGGCCTCCCCGACCCTCGAGTCTTCCGCCTCCTCCGTCTCCTCCCCCATCTCCTCCTCCTCCTCCTCCTCCTCCTCCCCGTCTTCGTCGAAATCTCCTTGTTCTTCTTCGTTCGTTCTGCTGTTTCTTCGTCTTCTTCTCTTCCTTTTTGCCGCTATTGAATTCTAATGGTTCTTTCTTTCTTTCGACCGCTTTGCAATCGGGGACTGGTTGGCGGGCACGGCTCTCAAGCAGTGCAAGGCTGCCCTCACTCGCCGTGATGGCCTTCATCGTACTGAGTTGGCCAAGCATAGCACACTGTGATATCTGACATTCAAGGTCATCCAATTCTGGGCACAGTCGTCAGCAGCTTTAGGATCCTCAAGCAAAGCCACGATGTATGCCACGCTCCACAGGCATGCTTCCAGTTCGCACCCCACATATCGGTGGCATGCTCACCCATTGCGAAGCTTACTGACACAAGACGAGTCCATTCTGCAGCATCGTCATCATCATCATCACCACCACCACCACCACCACCACCACCATCATCATCATCATCATCATCATCATCATCATCATCATCATCATCATCATCATCATCATCATCATCATCATCATCATCATCATCATCACAATTCTCATGGCTATTCTCATCATCATCATCATCCTTCTTCTTCTTCGTTCTCCTGCTGCCGCTGGGGCCCTCCGAGGGCCTCAGAAGCCTCCGAAGGCCTCCGAGGGCCCCCGAGGGCCTCCGAAGGCCTTCGAGGGCCCCAGAGGGCGTCCGAGGGACTCCGAGGGCCTCCGTGGACCTCCGAGGGCCTCCGATGGACTCCGAGCGCCTCCGAACGGATCCGAGGGCCTCTGCGCACCACTCCTGCATCCTCGCGGCGGCACCGTGGCGGCCTCGCCCACCTCCCGCCCCCCGGCAGCAGGCGCGGGCGCACCCGATGAGGGCCGAGTACAGGAAGAAGAAGGCGCACTGAAGGAAGCTATTCATCCCAGTCTGAAGCCTGCGGAGCGCTCGGGCCGTGCGGCGACAGCTCGGCGGCGCGCGCTGGGGAAGGGGAGGGGGGCAGGGCAGGACGAGGGGTGCGGCCCTCAGGCAGGGCTCCTCCTTCTCGAAAGCGGCTTCTGCTTGCCATCGCTCGGACGTCCGGTCCCCGTGCGCTGCTTGGTCTCGTGCGTGTTCTTTGTCCTCGCAATTCGTTCCCAAATTGCGCTTTCGCGCGGGACGTCCCCACAATTTATACTGCAATCGCGCGTTCGCGTGGGACTTCCTCGCAATCTATTCAGACGCCGCGCCCTCGACACTCAGGAATCACGCTCTCGCTGTGGATGTCCTCGCGATTCATTTTGGAATCGCGCTATCGCTCGAGACTTCCACGCGATTCGTGCAGGACGCACGCTTCAGCAACCCGCCTGTTCGACCTGGCCGCCTGGACCCGCCTCCCCGAACCGTTGGGTTACATGCCTACCCGCCCGATCTGTCCGTCTGGTTTTGCCACACGTTGTCTGCTCCTGGCCCCCCTCCTGCTACTATCTCTCGTGCTCTATCCTCCTCCCTCCCCTTTGTCCCTTCCTTCCATCCGTCTTCTCTTCCCCTGCCTCAGGGGCGACACGACATACATGTTGCAGGTAAGAAAGGTATACCCCCATGTGAGGTACGATCGAAGATGAAGAGGGCGGGTATCGAGGGTTTGGGATATACGCGTTGAATGGCACGCAGGCAAATAAGAGCGAACAACCTTCGAATGATAACTGATGATGATTGCTTGTTTGTTTGTTTGTTTGCGTATGTGTTTGTTTGTTTGTTTGTTGTTTGATGTCGTTATCCCCCTCGCGACCCACGCACGCCCTCACGCACACACGTACACACACGCGCACACGCGCACGCACGCACACACACACACACGCACACACGCACACGCACACGACACGCACACACGCACACACGCACACACACACACGCACGCACTCACGCACACACACGCACACACACACGCACACATTCACACACAAACTCACACAAACTCACACTCACACTCACATTCACACACGCACACACACGCACGCGAACACACAAACACACTCACAAACATACGCACACACATGCATACGCACGCACACATGCACACGCACGCGACACACACACACACGCACACACACGCACACATGCACACACGCACACACGCACACACGCACACACGCACACACGTACACGCGCACATACGCACACACGCACACGCACACACACACGCACACACGCACACACGCACACACGCACACACGTACACGCGCACATACGCACACACGCACACGCACACACACACCCACACACAAGCACACACACAGTAACAGTCACACTTACACACTCACACACACAAATACACTCACACTCACACACAAACTCACACTCACACAAACATACACACAAGCACATTCACACACACACACACGCGCACACATGCATACGCACACACACATGCATACGCACACACACAAACACACAAACACACAAACACACAAACACACAAACACACACAAACACACAAGCACACACAAGCACACACAAGCACACACAAACACACACACAAACACACAAACACACAACCACACACAAACACACACAAAAACACACAAACACACACAAACACACACAACCACACACAAACACACACAACCACACACGCAAACACACACAAACACACACACAAACACACACAAACACACACAAACACACACGCAAACACACACGCAAACCCACACAACCACACACAAACACACACAAGCACACACAAACACACACAAACACACACACAAACACACACAAACACACACAAACACACACAAACACACACAAACACACACACAAACACACAAACGCACGCAAACACACACAAACACACACAAACACACACAAGCGCACACAAGCACACACAAGCACACACAAGCACACACAAGCACACATAAGCACACACAAGCACACACAAGCACACACAAGCACACACAAGCACACACAAGCACACACAATCACACACAAGCACACACAAGCACACAGAAACACACACAAACACACACACGCACACACAAACACACACAAACACACACAAACACACACAAACACACAAACCACACACAAGCACACACAAGCACACACAAGCACACACAAGCACACACAAACAACCACACACAAACACACACACAAACACACACAAACACACACAAACACACACAAACACACACACAAACACACACAAAACACACACAAACACACAAACACACACAAACACACACAAACACACACAAACACACACAAAAACATACGCACAAACACACACAAACACACACAAACACACACAAACACACACAAACACACAAACACACACACAAACACACACAAACACACACAAACACACACAGACACACACAAACACACGCAAACACACAAACGCACACAACCAAACACAACCACACACAAACACGCACAAACACAAACCACCACACACAAACACACACAATCACACACAAACACACACAAACACACACAAACACACACAAACACACACAAACACACACAAACGCACACAAACGCACACAAACGCACACACACGCACACGCAAACACACACACAAACGCACACAAACGCACACAAACGCACACACACAAACACACACAAACACACAAACACACACAAACACACGCAAACACACACAAACACACACAAACACACACAAACACACACACACATCAACACACACAAACACACACAAACACACACACACAACCACACACAAACACACACACACAAACACACACAAACACGCACAAACACACACAAACACACACAAACACACGCAAACACACACAAACACACACAAACACACAAACACACACAACACACACAAAACACGCACAAACACACACAAACACACACACAAACACACACAAACACACACAAACACACACACACACAAACACACACAAACACACACACACACAAACACACACACAAACGCACACGCAAACATGCACAAACACACACACACGCGCAAACACGCACAAACACAGACAAACACAGACAACACACACACAAACACACACAAACACACAACCACACACAAACACACACACAAACACACACAAACACACACAAACACACACACAAACACACACAAACACACACAAGCACACACAAAACATCCACAAACACACACAAACACACACAAACACACACAAACACACACAAGCACACACAAACACACACAAACACACACAAACACACACAAACACACACAAACACACACAAACACACACAAACACACACAAACACACACACAAACACAAACACACACAAACACACACACACACATCAACACACACAAACACACACAAACACACACACAACCACACACAAACACACACAAACACACACAAACACACACAACCACACACAAACGCACACAAACACACACAAACACACGCAAACACACACACACAAACACACACAAACAAACACAAACCAACCCACACAAACACACACAACCATACACAAACACACACAACCACACACACACATACACAAACACACACACAAACACACAAACACACGCAAACACACACAACCACACACACACAAAAACACGCAAACACACGCAAACACACGCAAACACACGCAAACACACGCAAACACATGCAAACACATGCAAACACACGCAACCACACGCAAACACACGCAAACACACACAAACACACGCAAACACACGCAAACACACGCAAACACACGCAAACACACGCAAACATACGCAAACACACGCAAACACACGCAAACACACACACAAACACACACACAAACGCACACAAACACACACACAAACGCACACACAAACACACAACCACACACACACACAAACACACGACACAAACACACGCAAACACACGCAAACGCAAACACACGCAAACACACGCAAACACACACAACCACACACAAACACACACAAACACACACAAGCACACACAAGCACACACAAACACAAACAAACACACACAAACACACACAACCACACACAACCACACACAACCACACACACAACCACACACAACCACACACAAACACACACAAACACACACAACCACACACACAACCACACATCAACACACACACACACAAACACACAAACACACACAAACACACACAAACACACACACACAACCACACACAAACACACACACAAACACACACAAACACACAAACACGCACAAAAACGCACAAAACCATACACATACACACAAACACACACACAAACACACACACAAACACACACAAACACACGCAAACACACACAAACACACACACAAACATGCACAAACACACATCAACACACACAACCACACACAGCCACACACAAACACACACAAACACACACAAACACACAACCACACACAAACACACACAAACACACACACAAACACACACAAACACACACAAACACACACACAAACACACACAAACACACACAAACACACACACACACAAACACACACAAACACATACAAACACACAAAAACACACACAAACACACACACAAACACACACAACCACACACAAACACACACACACACTAACACACACACACTAACACACACACTAACACACACACACACAAACACACACAAACACACACAACCACACACACAAACAAACACAAACACACACAAACACACACAAACACACACACAAACACACACAGACACACACAAACACACAAACACACACACAACCACACACACAAACACACAAATACACAAAAACACAAACAAACACACACAACCACACACAAACACACACAAACACAGACAACCACACACACAAACACACACACAAACACACACAAACACACAAACACACACACAAACACACACAAACACACACAAACACACACACAAACACACACAAACACACACAAGCACACACAAGCACACACAAGCACACACAAGCACACACACACGCAAA